AACATTCAGTTTTGTTGACATTCACACAAAGAATTTACAAAAATCATTTCAGTTTTAATCTCATCTTCATCTCAAAATTTCAACATTGTGTCAACTACTGATGAACACAAATTTTTATTTGAGTTATCACTTAGTGGGTTATTTAATGTGTTAAGGCTTTTGTCTTTTTTGTCTTTCAAACATTAAAATGCACAAGTTCATGTTATTTCTCATTTACACGTGATGCAGGGAACTTTTTCACTCTTTCACCCTCTTTCACCTAATAAATTTATTTGAAGCTCCTCTAAGATAATAAGTTAATAATTAGGTAACACGTGTGCATATTCACGGTTCAAAAGTAATCTAAAAGTAGTCTGATTAGGTAATGGATTACGTTAGTAACCACAGTTTTTGTCATGTAATTTGGAATCAGTAACGGATTACAATTTGTAAATACTCAGCAATGCTCATTTTAATAAGTTAATAAGTAACACATTTGAATATTCACGGTTCAAAAGTAATCTAAAAGTAACCACACGTAGTCTGATTCAATTACCTAAGATGTGTAATGTAATGCATTACGTTACTAACTACAATTTTTGTCATGTAATTTAGGATCAGTAATAGCCTACAATTTGTAAGTAATTTACCCAGCAATGCTCATTTTAATAAGTTAATAATTAAGTAACGTGCATATTCACGGTTCAAAAGTAATCTAAAAGTAATCTGATTATATTACCTAAAATGTGTAATGTAATGGATTACGCTATACTAACTACAGTTTTTGTCATGTAATTTGGAATAAGTAACGTATTACAATCTGTAAGTAACTCTACCCAGCAATGCTCTTTTTAATAAGTTAATAATTACGTAACGTGCATATTCACGGTTGAAAAGTAATCTAAAAGTAATCTGATTATATTACCTAAGATGTGTAATGTAATGGATTACACTATACTAACTACAGTTTTTGTCATGTAATTTGGAATAAGTAACGGATTACAATTTCTAAGTAATCCACTCAGCAATGCTCATTTTTGATCACAATATAAGTCTTCAGTGTCCGCGGCGTAGAACTTGACCGCATGATCACCACTGTCCAAGACAACAAGCACGTTCAACGCCGTCGCAGCCAACGCCGCTGGACGCATCAGTCCGCTCACTAGCGGAGTCAGCGCAGGGTTTTTCTGTGGATTTCCCAAACTCCAAACCATGCCATTCTGCACGTCCCCAACAATCAAGTCTCCATTTCTATCAAAAGCCACTGCAGACATAACCAAACTCAAAGCGCTCTTCAAGTGAAGACCGAAACCGTCCATCTGCGTCAAAGGAACGAAGTCACTATTGAATATCCTCAGCGTGAAGCTGCTCCGAAGTCGCTCCACGATTGCGATGTTTCCGGAAGCTCTGCAAGAAGCAACCGAACGCGGATGCATCAGTTCTTTCAAAACGACTCGCTTAGCTAAAACCACGCCATGAGAAAAGTCCATTACGACTTGGTTTAGGGTTCCCAACTCAGCGTCGGTCACTAAAACTCGTCCACGGTTGTCTACATCTACACCCCACGGCAATCGAAAACCTTGAACGGTCGCCAGAGGATGGCCTTTGGACGTGAAGACTTTAAGTGATTGGTCACCAGCATCGGTGACCAAAATGTGTCCGGTTTTAGTCAAAGAAACATCTAGTGGGTAACAGATGTTGGACGACCGTCCAAAGACGTTTAAAAGAGTTCCTTGTGCATCAAAAACAACGACTCGTTTATCAGCATCGTGCACCACAACAGTCTGTCCTGATGTTTCGTCCACAGCCATTCCAGTAGGGTTGACCATCGTCCCCCATCCTCCGAAGGCCAAATGGAGACGCAACGTCCCCCAACCCGAGCTTTCAGTCCATCCTTGATGATCAGAGGACGATTTGGGACGAGATTCACACAGCAGGAGCTCTTGGAGATCTGCAAGCGCACGGCATTCAGAGGTGCTGCCAACGTCCCACACTTTCCTACAAAAAGGACACTCTAGTTTCTTCTGGACGGAGTGAGACAAGGCGCAGACGCATTTGAGACGGAGCACATGGCCGCAGGGAAGATTTTGTGCCGTTTGGTTTTTCTTCTGCAGGGAGAACCTTTCAAAACACACTTTGCACTCCAGCAGGTTCGACTCGATCTCTGTCAGGACGTCTTCGGCTCTCATACATGATGGGACGGGCGTCTCGGACATCTTGTCCTTTATATAAATAAATACTGGCCTAATGACTGGCACAAATGGGTTGAGGGGATGAGAGAGAGCTTTACAACAGCAAACATGATCATGTGACTGTATAAACATGAGCGGAGAGTCTGTACTGCACTCATGTGGTGAGACGACAAAATCACTTTACATTTGAACAGCAGAGAAACCTCTCAACATGTTCATTTGAAGACATTTTTACTATTACTAATTCAATTTATAAAAAGTCTAATATGCCTATACAAATATCATCTATAATAAGCACTGGTTGATTGAACGATACCACAAAAATACATATTTTACATTTTAATAGGGGTTTGAAGTAAAAGTACTTGAGAAAAGAAATGTCTGGATTCTGTTTTACCTCAAAATTAAAAGAAAAAACCAGGAGACATTATATTTTGCATTAAAAAAATGGTGTATATACACTATAATGTGACAATTTACTATAAATGTGTAAATTGTGTAAACTCAATTCAAATCTGTATTATTATTATTTATAATAATAATAATTAATAACCAATAAAAAACTGGAAATTTGGTATAGTCTATATATAAACTACAAACATAAAACTGTATAAAAGAAATTCAAATCTATTTTATAATCATTAAGCATTACAAAAGTGAGAATCTGATATTTTGCATAAAGAAATTTGTCTATACATTCATTGTGACATTTACTATAATCATAAAATTGTATAACAGCAATTAAAGTCTCTATTATCATTAATAATAAGCGTTAAAAATATGAGAATTTCATATTTTGCATAAAGAAAATTGTCTATATATCATTCACTATAATCCTAAAATTCTATAATAGCAATTAAAATCTTTAATATTCTTAACGTTAGTAATATGAAGTGTTACAAAAGTACGATTTTTTTATTGTGCATACAAAAAAATTGTCCATATATTCACTGTGACCTCATTTACTATACTCAAAAAATTTAATAATAGCAATAAAATAATCTATATGATCATTAATAAAGCATTACAAAAGTTAGAATTGCATAATGGCAATTAAAACGATATTATAATAATAATAACAGATGCTTTTAAATCATACAATTACATTTAAATGATAGAAACTACAATTTTTATTATTATTGAATTTAGTGGGTAAATATCCTTAATTGTCCTGAAAAATTGCACAGCAAAGCATGGTCCTAAAACAGGCTTTCTGAAACATGAGCTGTTTTTGTGAGGTCGAGAGACGGAGCTCAGAGCTCTACACGTGTCTATTTCTGTCTGATATCTGACTCCACTGGTTAGTAGAGCTGGTCAAATGAGCTCAGCGTCCACCGAAGCAGATCACAGCTGAGGAGCGGCCCAAACACTCAAACACTCATACAGTCACATCGGTTATTTCCACAGTATCCTCCAGCAGTTCTGTCATGGGTGGCATTTAATCCAAATAGGATTGCGACTGAATGTTAAAGCACATACTACTATATCTATTCGCTCAGTTCATTATCAATGTTTTATTGGTTATAACTACTCCTGTAAAATAAATAAATAAATATTAGAGATAAATCAAAATTGTGAGAAGAGAAAAAAAAAACAGAATTGCGAGTAAAAAATCTTTTGAGATAAATGCAATTAAAAACATTTTTTTTATGTAACTAAATTTTAATTTTACTTTAAAATTGTCATACGTGAGATTTAAAAAAATCAGAACGGTGACAAAAAGTCAGAAACGTGTGAGAAAAAAAATGTAAGGTAAAAGTCAGTGATTTTGACAAGCTTGTTTTCTCCAAGGAATAAAAAAGAAAAGAAAAAAAAGTCAATTGTGACCATATCTCACATTTCTGACACATTTTCTCACAATTCAGATTTTTTTCTCTCATATTTCTGACTTTTTTTCTTGCATTTGCAGGTTTGTCTCACATTTGTCAGCTGTAACCTTGCAATAAGATTTTCCTGCATGCATCTCTTAATTCTAAAAAAAGAAAAGTCAAAATTGTAAGAGATTAAAAGTTCAGAATTACTTTCATTTTTATTGCGTGGCTGAAATAAGCTTCCATGAGAAACGCATTGAAAACGGCAGCAGCTGGAGAAGCAGAGATGCTCTAGAAACAAACATCACACGATAAAACATCCTGCGCTTCAAGAACATCATCAGACTCGGAAAGTGCTAAAAACCATGTGAGACTCGGGCCGGTGAACCTGCATTCATCTCGAACATGATTCGTTTAAAGCAGCTTAACCTGGAAACATTCAACTCAGTCTGGATCAAACACAGCAAGTCATGCCTCAACATCTCATGCCACACGCAAACCAGTTCACCTCCACAATCTGACGTACATTCGCATTCAGATGTTTGGGGTCAGGAAGATTTTATTTGTAAGAAAGAAATACTTGTATTCATCAAGGATGCGTTAAATTGATCAAAAGTGCCATTAAAGACATTTATAATGTTACAAAAGATTTCGGTTTCAAATAAATGCTGTTCTTTTGAACTTTCTATTCATCGGTGAATCATGAAAAATAAAATGCATCACCGTTTCCACAAAAATATTGTGCAGCGCAACCGCTTTCAACATTGATAATAATCAGAAATGTTTCCCAGCATATCAGAATGATTTCTGAAGATCATGTGACTGATCCAAATCCAAAATCCAGCTTTGATCACAGAAATAAATTACTGTTTAACAGATATTCACATAGAGAACGGTTATTTTAAATCACAATAATATTTCACATTTTTTACTGTATTTTTGATCAAATAAACGCAGCCTTGGCGAGCAGAACAGAGCAGACTTCTTTCAAAAACACTAAATCTTAACAACCCCAAACTCTACACTTACATTTTTATGACTATCACTAAAAGAAAATCATTTTAAAAGAACATGCACCAGCAAAATGCACAATAAGCACGTGTTTTAAGAAGGTAAATTCTGATATAATGTTGACTTTAAAATATGATCATTTGTAAACACATTATGATATGAATAACATACTCTGAAATCGGCTGCTTGCCGTAAAATACAGCCGTGACATCGAATCCAGCACTGATACGAGTCACGCATGCGACTGAAAACACCAGCTATGCTTGGGATCTAACCTGGTTAACCAGTCTCTGTAGGTCAACAGGTAAAGTGAGCGCGCTAACTAAACACCGGACACACAGGATTGCCTTTTCAAAGGGTCTTGCATCACCATCACAGTCATCTGATGCTGCTAACAGGAGCGACACCTGTGCAAAAGTTCCCGTCGAAAAAGCCTTTCAGAGACGGCCTTATTTCTCCAGGCCGTTGATGCTTCTGTTATTTCCAGAGTCCCTCCGTTTCCTGGTGGAAGAGGAAGTTGTGCTGTCCGCCTCAAACTCCCCTACAGCACAAACGCATTACAATGTGACAGAAAACACTGGCACGCATCTTTGAGTTCATGCACAGAATGCACAAGGTATAATGCATGCATGTTTGCAAAGATCTAGAAGGAAACAAATCAACTTGACTGGATATTTCACAATTGCATAATGATATTTATGACTGTTTCTGCAGATATAGTTTGTATACTGTACATAGCATTGACTGTAAGGGTTATTATCATTAACTAAAACCATAAAAAACTTAAAATAAACATTAACTGAAATAAAATAAAAAATGTTCAGCTAGTCAGCAAAGCAATAAATAAATAAACGTAATAATTATAATGGAAAACATAAAAATAAAAACTAATTCAAAATATTTAAAATGATATAAAAAAAAAATGACTGAAAAAGTAAAATATTCAGAATATTAAAAAAAGATATCTAACGAAAATGACAAAAATGGCTTCCAGTGTCACTTATTACATATATTAAAAAATAAATAAATAAAATAGCATGCAATACAGTATATATACACTTTGCAGTAAGCAGTAGTCTAGTATTAGAAACAACTCCCGTCTACTTGTCAGCCGTGTGTTTCTGCTGGCTCACCACAAGAGGTCAGAACACTGCAGGGGGTATTCCAGAAAGCAGGTTATGTGACAGACCCGGGTATGTTTGAGGATAAGCAGCGGATAACCTCAGGGTATGTAAGTAACCATAGCAACTTGCTCTGTGAAGATAACCTGCTTCTGTTCCAGGGTTAGTTCACTTCAGCGCACATGATCTACTGACGAGCCTTCAGTGGGCCTGACAGACAGCGCACAACATTATATAATACTACAATGTAATATAGCCTATTATATATATTTGTATGATATGTTAATGATGAAGTGCTAATGTAAGTAATGAATAAGGTAATATATTATTCTAATATGGTTATTATATTTATTTTATTGGCATAAATAACAGTTATCTGTTCTATAATGTCTAAATTCTAAATCAAAATACATATCTGCTATGACTTAATATATGTTGCAAACAAACAATATAATTCATATTCTCAAGGATTAAAGATTAAACGGAAAAAAAATTAAAATGATTGCACAACCGTCAATTAGGTGGCGATGTGCACGAAGCTGAACAAAAGAAGAAGAAAGAAACAAAGCGTCCGTTTCCATAGCGACTCGTCGATCTGTCTTGAGTCTTAATACATATACACATACCTCGAGTAAGCAAGGTTTGGGGTTAATCAACCGAAGGTTCAGGGTTTAGCTGACGCTAAGTTAACCGTGCTTTCTGGAACACACCCCAGCTTAGATTCAGTGTTTTTGTAAGCCATCATTTCCATATTGAAGCATTAATAATCAACACGCTGTTGTGGAGCGTGTGAATGATGTTTCTGTACCTCTGCATTCAGACTCGGCATCGCCCGGCTCCGTGTAAATACTGTCCTCACACTCCGAGAAGCTCTACAGAGGCAAAAAAAATCACGATTCATATATGTGACCCTGCAGCACAAAAGCAGTAAGTCAAGTCGCTGGGGGATATTTGTAGCAATAGCCAACAATACATTGCAGATTTTTCTTTTATGCCAAAAATCATTAGGATATTAAGTAAAGATCATGCTCCATGAAGATATTTTGTAAATTTCCTACTGTAAATATATCAAAGCTTAATTTTTGATTAGTAATATGCATTGCTAAGGACTTCATTTGAACAACTTTAAAGATGATTTTCTCAATATTTAGATTTTTTTTGCACCCTCAGATTCCAGATTTTCAAATATTGTCCTATCCTAACAAACCACACATCAATGGAAAGATTATTTATTCATCTTCCAGATGATGCATAAATCTCAATTTCAAAAAAATTGACACTTAAAACTGGTTTTGTGCTCCAGGGTCACATATTTCATTTATATATATATATATATATATATATATACACACACACACACTGTAGTAGCAATAATCCTTTATGATGCTTTCTAGCAAAGAACTGACTCTTCGAGTCTTCAAGTTTCAACGGTTTACTGAAAGTTTCCACACAATACAGATAAACCGGTCAAAACCTTGCTCCATCTTTCTTACACTCTTAAAAGAAACAGCAATTCTTAAAAGCGCTTGAGAAAAAAGTCCAATAGTAAAACGTGTAAATAGACAACATAAACCTGGGCATATTGAAACATTTATGCATTTAGAGTTACATTTTTAATGACACAGATGATGGCTCTTAACCGAATGTTTTCCAGTGAAGTAAGAAAGTCTCACAGATCAGGGAGTAAATGACGCACCTTCTGTCGGGGCCCGTAGTTCTCAGCGAACCAGACCATCCCATACAGACACAGGAACGTGATGAAAGCCTTCAGACACAAACACACAAACACACCATCACTTCCACACGCAAACACTCACACACACACTACACCGAGACAGTCAGACCGCAGGGACTCACCAAACACAGGAGCCACAACACCACATACAAAACCTGCGTCTTGGAAAACAAGTCTTGTCCGAATTTAATGCACGCCAAGGCCTCCAGGAAAGCGATCGCTCTGAACGACAGAAAAACAGAGATTCGGGAAAAACTGACATTGGGATATTTTATTTTTCCGCAATACATAATGCAATGAAATTTCCCCAGATGACTTGAATAGCTATATTTGGAAAGACTGAATCATTCTAGAGTCAGTTGCCGAGTGCATCTGCATAAAAAATTATGATTAAAAAATGCTAAAATAAATACTTTTTTTAAAATGCAGGAATCTTTTAGGCCTTCATAGGCCTATAAAATAATAAAATACTATAAAATAATAATGATCATCGTGATTTTATTGTGATTATTATGAAACAAGAATATTGATCAAAATAAAAATATATCAAATACTGTAAAAAAAAAATGCTAATAATTTTATTTTACTGTAAAGTTACTAAAAATAACTTCCTTAATACTGCAATAAAAAAAAAAATTCAAACTCTAAACCATCAAGCTTTTATTTTGAAGGGTTGCCAGAAAATAAACTATTCAGAGTGAAACCATTGGCGCAAATGTATTAAATTAAATCACAGACTGCGTGATCTGATTTTATTTTGATATATAGTGCAACCCTACTTTTTATTAGACTTTTTATTAATTGTGCAACATAAAACCAAAGGATGATAGACGAAGTCTAGATTATTTTAAGTTAGTATTTCAATAATTTAACAACACATTTGCATGTTTACAGTTCTATGATATTAATCACATGACATGCAGGTAAACAAATATGTATAATATTTTTAGTGAGTGTTTTATTTTAAGTGTTATACATTTTAAAAATATATATGAATGCTGCATAGTGTTCAAACTTGCATGACAAACTAATATTTAATATATAATAATTAGTGCCGTTTAATCGTGATTAAACGCATCTAAAATAAAAGTATTTGTTTACATAATATATGTGTGTACTGAGTATATTACGTATATATAAATAGACACACATGCATGTATATACATATACACACATTTAAGAAAAATGTTTATATATTAAATATTTATATATAAATTAAATTATATGCATGTAAATACATGTAGATATTTTCTAAATATGTGTGTATTTATATATATATATATATATATATATATATATATATGTACATAATAAATATGCACAGTGCTTTTATTTTGGATGCGATTAATCGTTTGACAGCACTAATAATAATTTATATAATTATACTCGTGATTTTATCCAGCAGAGTGAAGCCGCATATATTCATTTCATTAAATCTCATATGCATTTGACAAATTTGTTTCAATATATCGTGCAGCTCTGGACTTTAATTGTGCAACGTAAAGCTGAAGGATGCTAGATAAAGTCTAGATGATGTACCCTAGATGTTAGGCACAAGAGAAGTCAAATCTAGGTGATTGTGTTCGTTCATATCTGAGACGAGGCAGATTACAACACCGCTCCAGGTTCCCACGAGAAGCGCTCCGACTCACCCAAACACCCAGCACTGAGTCCCGACCCGCTTGCACTGCGTGTCCGTCAGATACGCGTAATACTGCCTAAACATCAGAGCACAGGAGCATCAGATCAATCAGTCCAACACACGCTCTGGGGTCTTCAACAGTGCATGTCTGTCAGTGAACAATACTTACTTGAAGACCCCGGAGATACATTTCAATAATTTAACAACACATTTGCATATTTCTCTGACATTATTTAATGGTCACATGACATGCTAGTAAACAAAGAATGTTTTTTTGGTGTTTTATTTTGAAATTTTTTAAATATATATTATTATTATTATTTTTTTAAATATATGTTTATATTGCATTTTCATCCCACACACCAAGAAATGATTCAGGTTACATTTTATTTATTTACATTTTATCATAATTAAAATATTTAATTTAATTTTATCAGTTTTTGTTACATTTTTTTATCAATTTTAATTTTACATTTTCATTATTTAATTAGGCTAATGATTCAGGTGTGTGGGCATTACATTTTTATTGGATTGTTTTTATATTATTATTTATTTAATGATGATTCAGGTGTGCAGAAATTACATTTTAATTGGCTTGTTTTCATATTAATATTATTTATTTAGATTTGTATAATTTTTATGTAACATTTTTGATCAATTTTATTTGTTAACGTTAACTAACAATAAACAGTTATGTTTTTATTAACAATGTCAGCTCAGGTCCTTTAAATAATATTAACAACTTTCAGTTTTAATAATTTATTCAGTAAATGTTGAAATTAACATTAACATAAGATTAATAAACGCTTTAGAAGCATTTTTATTGTGTTATGTAGTTAGCTCATGTTAACAAATGGAAACTTATTGCAAAGTGTTACCAATTTAATTATATTTATCAATATTTCTCACTATAAAATTTGGAGACAGACTCCACCCCCAAAAAAATTAATAATAAAAGAAGTGAGAAATATTCATAAACTGGTATTTAATTAAATCTATTTAAATAATTTGAAGAAAGACTAAAAAACTAAAAGATGATGAGAGATGAAATGAGAAATATTAATAAACTGGTATTTAATTAAAAATATTTATCAATATTTCTCGCTATATAATTTAGAGACAGACTAAACAAAAGATGAAAGATGAAGTCAAAAATATTAACAAATTGGTTTTAAATTTAATTAATTAATTTGTGTGCCTATATATATATATATATATATACACACACATGCACTATACTGTATATAGAATTATGAGAAAGATAATTAATACATTATATAAAACTAAAATAAATAAATTTTTAATTATGGTTTTGTTCTTTGCTGTGCATTCTGGGATTGCTAAACTAACTAGGATTTGAACCAAACCTAAAATGAGAGCAATTATTTGATTAATTATACTGTATATAAGTCACTCATTAAATTGCCCTATAAAACCCAATGCATTTTTTCCCAAATTCCATGCTTTCTGTTGGAATCTGGTTCGATTAAACTAATCAATTGAATTCAGAAAACTTTAACAACTTGGTGCCCCCCTGAAGTGTTATTTTTCAGCGCTGGCTGATAGAGAAGTGAATGCACGGACCTGCCAGATGATCATGAACAGATAGACTCCCGTCACTCTCTGTAAGGAGGACTTGGGGTCGAGCCAGCGCACGTATGTCCAGCTAGCGGGAGTGAACTGCAGCGCTGCACGCTTGATCTTCCCCGTGGTGCTGTGGATGTCTCTGTGCGGCACAAACACACTCGTTCAGCTCGGTCAGTCTCTGCCGGACGCTCTCAGAAGCCAGTGTTTGAGGGGTTTCTTACTTGATGCTGGCCCAGTGATACGTGCGCATCTCCAGGAAGCGGCAGGTGGTCATTCCCAGCCAGATCCCTCCGCCGTTACACAGCAGGATATCCAGGATGACCTGATCCCACCAGCACTCCGCGAAATTCGGAAGAAGATGCATGAAGAACAGCTGCGCCCAGAGATTTACTTGCCATTAGCATGCTTCTAATAAACAATGTGAAGCTGGAATTAAAGCAATAAGCCCCGTGGTGGATTTATAACAGCTAAGGGGCGTTGTTTTCTTCCGCCAAACAATGTAGCTCCTCAGAAACAGTTGTGGTTGCAGAGCAACACACAGAAGTAAAGAAAGGTGTATGTTTGTAGAGTCATTTACAACAGCTTCGAACGCGGCTCAGCCAATCAGAATCAAGCACCGGAACTATACGTTTTATAAAAGTAGTTAAGGAGTTAACGCAAGTAGTTTTGACTATTTAATAGCATTTAATTTATGTAATTAATATGAATTGTTAATTGGTATTTAATTAATTATTTTATCAATATTTCTCACTACATTTGAAAACAGACTCAATATAAAAAGAAACATCTAAAATGAAGATGAATTCTGACTTCGTCCTACATTTTAAAATCATTGTTTGTTTGCTTTTTTTAGTATTTCACAGTGCATTCTGGGATTGCTAAACTAGGTTTTGAACCAATACTAAAATAAAATTATTTGGAGCCAGATGCTGAACAATATCATATTTGATTTTATCCCAAATTTCCATTTAAATTTTTCTGTACTTACTTTTAAAGTTGATTTAATTTTAATAATCAAAAATCTGGACTAAGCAATTAATTCCATGAACTTTAAGAATGTAATATTATTATTACAATAAATAAATAAATAATAATAATAATAAAATGTCAACAATAGAGCCCAATTAAAGGCGTTTCATTATTTACACACACACACACACACATATATAGAGAGAGAGAGAGAGAGAGATTATTAGATTTATATATTTATATTTAGAAATTCTAAATAAATTCTAAATATATATAATTCTAATTGTTGTTGGTTTTAATATTTAATTTAATTAATTTTAACAATAAATGTAATACAATGTATTTAATTTAAAAGGTTTTAATCATTTTGTTGTGATTTTGTCTTTTTTAATATGTCTATATAGTTCCCTTTATTATTTTATTTCAGTTCGGTTTTACTTCAGTTTTAGCTTTTAGTTATTTTAGTAGATCAAGTTAAACGAAATTTTTTAAATGATTTTTTTTTATTGTTTTTTAAAATTGATGCTAATTATTTAATTTCAAGTAAATTCTTTGTTGTCCATTTTAATTTGTCTGCATTTTGTGTGTTTTAGTATTTAATATACATTTATTATCAAAAAGAGTGCAATCAAAAGAATGCATGAAACGTTGAACAATTTATTTAATCTTTTTAAATGCAATCAAATGAAATGTAACAATTCCTTTTATTTTTCCGGCAAACATAATCGAGCGGTCATTAGCTGTGAAACATCATATACAGTCTTCTATGAATGCATGAATCAGTAGCTATGTTTCCATCGCCCTATTTTAATGCACATTTTGAAGTATTGCATGAGAATCGAGTGATGGAAACACCAAATTTTGAATAAAAACCCCTTAATAGCAAAATAGTTTTCACGCTCGCTTGGTGGTTTTTGACTTGTGCGAAAAAGAGTTGATGCGAATAATGGGAGATGGAAATGCATTTTGCGAATAAATTCCTCCAAGCGCATCAAAAAAAGTCATTTGACTTTGCGCTATGGGACGGCAAAACCTGACTAACCAGTGGACCGATCTCATTCCACAGCATCTGAAATGTTGTTATGGTCATTCAGAAATGCACGAGCAAAGTCTGTCATCAAAGTATTTCTGTATAATTGCCTCCCAGAAATGTCTCGCACGACTGCATTCCCAAACAGCAGCATCCACCTCCGTTTCGTCTGCTCGCTCTGAGGCGCAAGTCATTTATTATTAAAAAAATTGACACTTATGACTGGTTTTGTGCTCCAGGGTCACATATATGAAAATTACTATATTATATATTTTTATATTCTCCTACTTTTCTTAGTGATTTATAGTGCCAGTTTATCAGGAAGTGACTATTTTGTTCTCTGACGCGTTGGATGTAAACGATGCTTGCACATAACTTGTGCAATTTGTGCACAAGTTAAATTCGCAACTTTGGATGAACACCCGGCTAGTGTGTCGCTCTCGCTGTAACCGGGTTCATGCTGTAAGCGGGGTAATGTGAGGTGTTTTACCTCGGTCAGCTCCCAGGTGATGCTGATGGTCCAGCACAGGCCATAGCTGCGGATCAGCAGAGCCTTCATTCCCCAGCCCCAGAAATGACTGAAGGCGAAGATGTCGAAGTGGCTGAGGATTCGCTCCCAGGTGATCACATGACAGTTGACGGCATACTCCTGTCAATCATCGACAGCGACAGTTTAACACGTGCTTAAAGACGCTAGAGGACATCACAGGGTTAAACTGAACACAGTGCATCACTCTGAGATTTGTGACGGAGTTATTTTAGTATCATTGAGATACTAGTATTAGTTTATAGTTTATTCTCTGTTTTCATTTTTAGTAATTTTGCATGCTTTTGTCTTATTTAATGTCTATATTGCATTTATTAATTATGATGCCTTGGCGACTCGCTGTAATAAACTAAGTTTTATGTTTTCAATTCATTTTTTTCTGGATACTGTTTTAATTTAATTTTAATAATCAAATGGTTCGATTTAATTTTAATAATCAACAACCATGTATAATCAATTTAAATAACACAATTTTAATGTAATATTTTTTACGTTCTCAATTCGCCCTCCATCTTAAATGATTTTTCTCAAATTTGCCATATTTTAATTTCTGTATTTAACGAGTCTGTATTTAACCCAAAAAATTAAATAGTTTGATTTAATTTCAAAAAGCATGTATTTTATTCAAATTACTTAATTATTATTGTATTAAATATTAAATTGTAAAAACATTTTATTAAATTAGTATTTTATTCAATATTAAATTATAAAAAATATTTTAATACATTTAAATAATTTTTCTAAAATATGCATTACTGATACACCCACTAAAACATTTTAATGGTTTGATTTAATTTTAATAATCAAAGAACATGTCTAATTATTTAATTTCATAAACCTTCAACAAAAAACAATAATAGATATTATTCAACAATAATAAGGCCCAATTAAATATATATATATATATATTTTTTTTTAATGAAGTGTTGTCTGTTTTAATTTTCAATTTAACTCAATTTTAAAATTTAATTCAAGCTTAAATCTGTCTTTTTTAATATGTCTGTATAGTTTTCATTAATCATTATTTCCATTTTAGTAGATCAAGTTAAAAACGAGAAATGTTTCCTTGGCAACTAGTTGAAATAAGTTTAATTTTTATAAATACTTTATTTCAGCTTATTTCATGTTTATTTTAAGTCACAATTTTTTGGGGGGTTTCTTTTAGCTTCTAGCTACACTGACCCTGATTTGTGAGCTCTGGCAGAAGATAATATTTTATGAACAATGCATTTGTGAGTTATTCCTATAACAACAGAACTGACCATGACGTCGGCTTCCCGTTTGGCGTAGCGCAGATTGGGATCCAGCCAGAACATGAGAGACTTGACCTGCTCCCAGTTCAGGAAGATGATGAAAACCAGGAAGAGGAAGTACAGCACACTCAACCCTGCACAACCACACAAACACACACTTCAGAAACGAGAAACACACCAACCGACTAACCCAACCACTCAGTTCTGCCCTTTCATCATTTATTCATGTTTAAACCATAGACTGTATAAAAACATGGACGAAGTGTCCGTGACGTACGACCCGTAGATTTCAGAAGAGCATTTTTGAAGCTCAAAAGTGGGCGGAGCCGACCGTCGCCATCTTGGCAGCGCGTCACCGCGCGTCACTCCCGGATAATCGAAAATGGGCAAAGAGGCGGGAGCAGGTTGCTGAAGCCACGCCCACCTAGCTCGACGGTGGTGCGGCAATCCACCTGTCACTCAAGTGGCCACGCCCTTAATTATGCAGAACTTTAAGGCTTAATATAATTTAAACGGATGACTTATAAAAAAAAAATTCACCTCCCTCACAGTTGTCATGAAGGGCAAAATTAGCTATATAGACCAAAATAATTTTTTTAACCAGGCTGTAAACATGTTTTTTTCTGCTGTAAAATTGGGCATTTTAACATGGGGAGTCTATGGGATTGACTCCCTTTTGCAGCCCGCCTCTAGCGGCCAGTCGATGAATTACAGCTTAAGTCACTTCCGTGTTGGCTTCACGAGAGAGAGCGGGAGGTTGCCGCTTGGTTTAAACATGCATCTGTATTACCAGGCTTCCAAAACAAGCGTCTGATCCACTCACCGAACACTATACGCCATATCGCTGGATGGGGTCTTGTGAACGGACCTAAAAAAAAGGCAAAGAGGGTTATTAGCTGACATCATAGACAATAAAAAAGTATCGACTCATATCGTCTCATATGACCAAATGTAAAGGCCTGCAATGACGCGGTTTGACCAGTGTGGTGCTGTAGCACAAGACTGTACTCAGCGCTCCCACATGCAGTCCAGTAGAAGAAGACGGAGCTTATGAACGTAAACAACGGCATTGCATCCCAATTCACCTACTTATACTATGCCCTAAAATTATGCACTCTTTCTGTGAAGAAAAATACATACTTTTAAGTATAGTAGGCAAGCTTTGGGACATACTACTTCGTAATAACTGCAAAAAACTACAAACATGGCGGATATGCGGGACCAAAAGACAGGTAGAGAAAGGGGTTTGAGTGATAAATAATCAATATCTGACCGGTTTTATCCAAAGCGACTTACAAATGAGGACAACAGAAGCAATCAAAACCAACAAAAGAGCATCAATATATAAGTGCTATAACAAGTCTCAGTAAGCTTAACGCAGTACACATAGCAAGTTTTTTTTTAAATTATATAATAAATGAAAAGAAACCAGCTAGAATAGAAAAAGAATAGAGCAAGCTAGTGTTAGATACAATTGACTGCTTTTAAGCAAGCAGCTTTTCCGTATTTAACGTGAAAAAACAGTTAGAATTACTATTTGATTCTCTGCTATAAAGCAGCGAACTAATGTTAGATCTTTTTATTAGTGAATGCCAACAACAACAGATTACATTTAAGTGATAGTTTGGTTTGCGCAAGATTCTGTTTTAATGGTTTGACTTAATTTTAAATAATCAAAAAGCATGTCAAATCGTTTAAATTCATAAAACTTTCACAAAAATGCAACTATAAATAGGGCCCAATAGTTGTGTTGTCGGTTTTAATTTTTCATTTCAACAATCTGAAAAATAAATACATTAATTTAAAATATTTTAAATTAAAGCTTTTGTCTTTTTTAATGTCTATATAGTTTTATTTCACTTTTAGATACTTTAGTACATAAACTAAATAAATGAGAAATGTTTAAGTTAACTAGCTAAAATAAAATAAGAATCTCTCATCATCTCATTTTGTGCCAAATATTTGTATCGCAAAAAAAAAACAAAATAAAATATATATATATATAAATTGCAATTGTATAATAGTAATACAATTGTAATAGTAATATAATTGTTTGTCATTATCAAAAGCTGAAATGATTACCTTGTTTTATTTAGAATATGTATAACTCAATATTAAAATTATAAAAGCTGAATAATCTATCAAAGCCTACTGATTAACCAGTTAAAAAATTGACTATCAACTGTTTAAATAATCATTAGAATAACTGATTATCAAACTAATCATTTGTTGCAGTCCTATTATGAACCTGAACACATTTGTGACCAACCATGATCATAAAACACTTATGGCCAAAAGCACAGGACGCTGAGATCTTCGGCTTGACTTCACGACTCTTACCGTTGGGGAAGGCGAGAACGCTGATGACCAAGAAGAAGGAGATGACCAGGATGAGACCCACCCACAGGTTACTGTCAGGGTTTCCATCATCTCTGCAACGGAAACATGCAGTCACACACTGTTTCTATTCCACCACAGTTTCACAATTCACTACAGAAGATGCAGTCAGAGAATGAATACTTGTGATTACACAGCAGAAAAATAGGTTCTTGAAAATATAAATAAAGTATTTCCTATTGACGATGCTGCTATAAGAGTCTGGAACTGACAGCATGGGAACTACCACTTTTGTTTTCACCCAAGCAAACACATCGTTGGCTGATGACGATAATCACAAAATTGACTTATTTTATTACTGTATTTTAAAGTGTAACTGTAAGACTTGATATCTGCTTTTCACTGGATTGTAAAAAGTGAGCAGTGCATACTGGACTGGAGACAGATGTGCATGCAAAAATAAAAACTTTAAATAAAAATTTCTACAAAAAAATAGCAAAAAGAAAAAGATAAAATGTAAGCAAAATAAAACCGATAAAATTAGAATGATACAAACTGATTAAAAAAATTAAAATGTTTCTACTTAAATAAACAGAAATGAGAAATACAATTAGAATGATACAAACTGATAAAAAAAATATATATAGAAAATAAGAAATTTTCTACTTAAACAGAAATGAGAAAGAATTATATTTCTTTCTACTTTAACCCTATTGTCGCGCGTTGTTTTTCACGTACGCGGGTTGAAGCGACTCCAATAACGTGATAATTAGCCCCTGCAATGAGAATTTTACCAGGGTAACCCTGCCAAAAAATGTGTATTTTACCCCTCGGAATGCGATATTTAATGGGGGACCCCCCCCTCGAAACAAATTGGTCTAGTTTTAAGTAGCAATTGGGCGGGTTTTGATGTGAAAACCTGGTAACCTTGATTGTGGCTGACCTCGTATGACCAAAAATGACGGTGTTGAAGCTCTTTCCGCTGTTAAAGTGCCCCTATTATGGGTGATGAAAGGTTCATACTTTGGTTTTGGGAGTCCCCAACAACAGGTTGACATGCATGCAAGGTCATGAAGGTCACCGGAGAAGTGCAGTAGCCCACTTGTTGTGCTCTATACGAGATGTACAGCTTCAACTTGTTTGTAATAGCAAATTAAAACATCAGGGCCATCCTTTGGGTGGTGCAACCGGTGTGGTCGCACCGGGCCCCTGCGGCGAACGGACCGAGGGGGACCCCCCTGGAACGTAATCGCAATGGGCCCCGCGTCAGCTAAGGACGGCCCTGGAAAACATATTACCTGTGAGGTTTTTCTTAAATGGGCCTAATATAATGAGTAGGCTAAAATCAGCAACCGTGAGCAGGGGCACTGTAAGGGCCTGGGGAGGTTAGGACGATTCCAAGGGCCCGATGTGCCCCCCCCCCCGAGTCAACATGCTGCAACCAAAACAATCCAAGGTTTTTATTTAGCACAGTGGCTAGATTAACAAATAACCAGACGCCACCCGATCTAAATATTCCCTCACAGTTTAATAGTAATGACTTTATGAATTTCTTCACTCACTTGCATTTGCCGATTTACACAAGCTTCAGTCTGGATCCAGAAGACCTGAGAAGAGATGCTGCAACCCCTCAGAGGACCTCAGATGATGCCAACCCTGAAACAACTTACAGAACTACCACATTTTGCTATAAGTTTGATTGCATTTATCTGTTTCTTAAACAAAATTACAAAACGAAAATCAAACTGTTTCTCATTTCTCTTTTTTCTTTTTAATTATAAAATCAAATGACCAGAAGGCACAGGGAACATGATTAACTTACACGCTGCCTTTAATGGGGAAAAAAAAAAAAAGAATATAAACAGCCAGTAGTCTTTAGTTTTTCTTAACACACATGCACACACGATGCATGATTTGTTACTTCGGATGATAGAAATCGCTGGTCGTTCTGAACAGCGTTGCGTCAAATAAAACTGAACACGCCCCCGAGTACGCGGTGACGTCATCAAAAAAAAAAGTATTTTCCCGGAAGTGAATGACCGTAGAAAATCCGCCAAGATCGTAGTTGACACCTAATAGCGCAACAAACACGCACTAAAAGCCAGAGAATTCAGATAGCATGATTTCTATATGAAATGGAGCCGCGCGATCATTTAGTAACATATGCCGTCATTGCGGTTCTTTGTGTGACATTGTTGTTGTGCGTCACTCACCGCGTGAAGGCGAAGTACATGAGGCTGAGCACGGTGCATGTGAGCAGGGTGATGGTGTGAGGCTTGTAGAAGAAGTCGATGGTGATGTCCTCCACCTGCTGCTCGTTGATCATGCGGAAATGCATCCTGTAGTTCACATCATCTTTACTCAGGGTCCTGGAGCCGAACGCGGACGCCATGCTTTTTTCCTCTCCGTCCTGGCTTCACCTTTGATTTACCGTGATGTTAGAGGCTCTCTCTCCCTCTCTGGCGTCTGCGGCACGAATGCAACCCGGATGACGGCCATGCATGTGTGCAATCCGGCTCCTAATGCATGCACAACACAATCAGCTGCTCGGGGAGAGAGATGCATGCACGGAGCGGAAAGATGGCACACGCATTAGGGGAAAACAGACAATTCCTGCATTTTCATTGGTTTGCATGCAGTGCTAGGCGTGCAGCCTGTATGGCAAGCCGAAAGGGTCAAAACGTGCAGCGGAGCTCGAGTTTCTCACGCGCTGAAGGTCACGCTGTTGTGTTGAGTGTCATTTACACCAACAGTGGCGCTTTCCTCAATCACACAGTGGCCCCAAAAAAGTAGACAAAAGTGCACTCGATTTTTATTTTTTAAGTTTGTACATAAAATTAGCACTTTTGGCAAAATATCATTACAATTATCTCCAGTTGCATGAGTGTTTTATTTTGACCGGAAAGGGTTCCCGGCAATATCTCTCATTTCAGACCAACTATCTTTTTCTCAAATGTTTTGTTTGTAAGTGTGTTTCTTTACGATAAATAATTTGATATTTGTATCTAATGCAATGGCATTCGTGCATTAAGCATGACCGAAATGTCCAAATACATTTGGAGTGCTTTATAGCTATTTATTTTTTGATTGTGGTAAAGGGTAGCTATATTTGGTGTTGCATAAAATTCTGCAGACCACTAGACATACATGTAAAGTATTGTGTGCCATGAGAATCTGAAGAGTTTATTTGCAAAAACAGATAACTCTTGTTTTTATTCATTTTCATAAATCGTGTTTTTTTTGGTGTTAGTTAGCTTTATTTTTTTTAGTTATTATTATTTAATCAAAACAACCCAAGTGCAGTTTGATTGATATTAATTGGAATGCAGGGTAAAAAAAAACCTAATTTTTGAGTTATCTGCTGTTGCAAATGAACTGTTCATCTGCTGTGGTTGGTTTTTGTATTTTAACACCTCCTGAACGTCACACGTCTTCAGCTGCGGTTTTTACTAAAGAACTCACTCACAAACACGAGTCACGCCAGCAAATGTGTTTCACTGCAAGATGTTATGCGTGCTTGTACGGTCAGTATGATGATGTTAAACTTATCACCGAAGCAACAAAAATAATAAATCATTCATTTGCAATTAAAACTAAATGGTCTATATATATTAGTGCTGTCACATTTATTATGTGTATATATAAATACACACACATACAATATATATTTTGAAAATATTTACGTTTATATTTGAAGAGTTTATTTGCAAAAACAGATCATGTTTTTTATAATGTTATCATGTTTTTATTGTGTTAGTTAGCTGTTTTTTTTAGTTATTCTTTAACCTAGTCAATTGAGTTAATTGAGATTAACAATGAAAAAAACATGATTTCTGAGAATTGTCAAAAAAAGTTATCTGTTTTTGCAAATTAACTCTTCATTTATATTCATATAATTATATTTATTATATAAACATAACATATTTTTCTTAAATATATACATGCATGTGTTTGCATTTATATATAGTTCACACATTATGTAAACAATCTTTATTTTGGATGCGATTAATCGTTTGATATATATACAGTATATCCTCCTGAGACCCAGCTATGGAGTTTTTGCCTCTGTAGTGGACATTATATTTGAGTGAATTTCTCTGAGACGTTACATGTCACAGTTGTAAGTCTGGGTGTCCTGTACAGACCACATTCAGGGCTTTCCACAGATACCAAATGTTTGGATGTTTCACCGAGACCACTCCCTCTCCTTGGTTTTTAGAAATGGCTGACATTAATTTAGTGATACAATTGTACATTCTTATGGAAATATGATAACATTTTGTAATTATAATTTAAATCTGATTCATTTTCAAATTGTTTGTCATAAATCAACATCTCAGGAAAATGTTATGGGGTTTCAAATCAAAGTATGAGCTTCTGTTATGAAACAGGACATAATTTCATACATGTCCACTGTAGAGGACACCAGGACTAAAAGCATGTTTATTATACATTTTGGGAGACAAAAGAATTGAATAGGAAAACAAATTGCATATCAATATTCTTATGAAATATTAGATATTATTATTAAAATCTGGCCAATTACTACTCCCATTATTACACTTCTTTTTTCAACAACTTTCATATGCAAATTAGATGCAGTGTATAGATAACATTGTGCTTAATGGGAAAACCAGTTTATGGAATTTTTACACACATATTGCATAAAGCAAAATGGTATATCAAATCATTGTGTTATATATTTTATAACATAGCTGAGAACCATCCTTAAACAAAGTTAGTTATAAAAAAAATCCTTAAACCTAAGAATTGATTGGTGATTTAAAAAAAATTCCCATTGTTTTTATCTTTTCATGTCTACTCTTGTCATTTTATTTTTCTATTAGTCCTGGTGTCACAAAGCTTTTTATTTCTGGTTCTCAGGAGGATATTGGTATATCAAATCATTGTGTTATATATTTTATAACATAGCTGAGAACCATCCTTAAACAAAGTTAGTTATAAAAAAAATCCTTAAACCTAAGAATTGATTGGTGATTTAAAAAAAATTCCCATTGTTTTTATCTTTTCATGTCTACTCTTGTCATTTTATTTTTCTATTAGTCCTGGTGTCACAAAGCTTTTTATTTCTGGTTCTTAGGAGGATATATATATATATATACAGTATATCTAAAATATTAAATGCAGTAGCTTGACTGATTGCTATCCAGTATTGCACAAACAGATGATGAGAGGTAAACAGTACTCAGTACTTTAATAGTGAGCAAAACTTGTGGCACATTTACATTTATGCATTTGGCAAACATGTTTATACAGCAATTTACAGTGCATTCATGCTAAACATTTGATCTATTCACACCCAGAGAATCAAACCCATGACCCCGACACTGCAGCGCCAGATGAGCTACAGAAAAAGGTTCAATTTCAATTCAGATGTCATTACAGTTCAGCTCGATCTCACCCATCTGATCAAACCTCTTGCTTGATGGTGATCAAGGGCTGCGTTGAAACAAAGACAAATAAAAGAGATTTCAGTGCGTTTGAACATTGTTCCGCATGTTTTGTTGTTTTCAAGCATTGGTTAAATTACCAGAGTGTTGAAGTGAGATCGGCACACGGCTTTACTCTCCCAATAGATCAGAATCAGAGCCAGAATCAACTCCAACCCACACAACACACCGATCACCACCTTCAGCCCCACAAGCATGTTTCTCTGGAGAAAAACATAACAGTATATCTAAAATATTAAATGCAGTAGCTTGACTGATTGCTATCCAGTATTGCACAAACAGATGATGAGAGGTAAACAGTACTCAGTAATTTAATAGTGAGCAAAACTTGTGGCACATTTACATTTATGCATTTGGCAAACATGTTTATACAGCAATTTACAGTGCATTCATGCTAAACATTTGATCTATTCACACCCAGGGAATCAAACCCATGACCCCGACACTGCAGCGCCAGATGAGCTACAGAAAAAGGCATTAAACAAGCATTTATATACACATTCAATTCAGATGTCATTACAGTTCAGCTCGATCTCACCCATCTGATCAAACCTCTTGCTTGATGGTGATCAAGGGCTGCGTTGAAACAAAGACAAATAAAAGAGATTTCAGTGCGTTTGAACATTGTTCCGCATGTTTTGTTGTTTTCAAACAGAATGTTAAATTACCAGAGTGTTGAAGTGAGATCGGCACACGGCTTTACTCTCCCAATAGATCAGAATCAGAGCCAGAATCAACTCCAACCCACACAACACACCGATCACCACCTTCAGCCCCACAAGCATGTTTCTCTGGAGAAAAACATGTCAATCAATAACAATATCGACAAGTGTGTCCAAATGCCTGCGCCATGAACAGAATGTTCATTCCAAGTGATCTGGTCTTTAATAGCGTTCTCAACATTAGCACAAGAACGCTATAATTATACATCATTCAAGGAAGGATTTTTATTTGTAAATGTTACTTAAACGCTGCTACATTTAAAAAAAGTTATCACTTACTACTTGTTTTCCTATAGGCCTAGTTGTTCCCAAAATGCTGTCTGTGACTGAAAAGAAAAGAAAAGTCAAAGTTATGAACAAACATTCTTCCAGTAATGTTAACAGAACGTTTATTACAAGTTATGGTCTCAAAACATGTATACGTCCTTCAGCAAATGTTTTTTCTTACATGATTTTTATGTTGTTCTAATGTTTTTTAAACGTTACTATTTACTACTTTTATTAGTAATGAGATGTTGCCCGTAATTGAAAAAGAAGAGAATCTTAAGAGCTTTGCTCAAGTCAAAGTTATAAACAAATGTTCTTCCAGTAACCTTAACAAAACGTTCAATCCAAGTTATCTGGCCTTTAATAACGTTCTCAAAATGTTAACATAAAAAACGTATTTATATATCATCCATGGAACTTTTTTAATCAAATGTTACTTAAATGTTGCTACTTTTTCAAATGTAACTTTAACGTCATTCAAATGTTACTATTTACTTGTTTCAGGATGTTCAGAGAACATTCAAAAGTAGCGTTCCCATAACGTTTGCAAAATTCTAAAATGTAACATTTCCTTTAACAATAATCCTGTTTTCACTAACGTTCGCAGAAACAAGAAAAACGTTTAAAAAACTGCACTTTTGGAATGTTCAGAAAGCATTCAGAAATAATGGGAATGTTTTTAAAACACTCTCTCTCTCTCTCTAATTACTTTACCAATATTCTGCAGTTCAAACGTTTGTTTGAGTAAAAAACATAATTAAAGAGGTTAAATGTTATAAATGAGTCCGAGCAGATGCTCCTCGTCTTTTAACACTGTGCCAATAGACTCCACACATCATTTTAGTCATAAATGTACTCATATGTTGGAATTTCATTCAACAAAGTATGAAAAGTGAGTCAACCTACCCCAATCCCACCCACACTTTACAGAATGCCCAGAGAGAGAGTGTTTTATCTGTGCGTACAGGAAGACTGGGGTAAATCCAGCAACTTATAATACAGTAAATAAACAGAGATTGAGTTATCTGACAGATCTAATGACACACACACACAGAGCCTGAGATCTCGATCAATCTCTGAATCTCACTCTGTTCATCTAGAAGCATGAGGTTCTGTTGTTTTCATTGAGTCTTTTAGTGTTAAAATGTCTTACCAGCTGGAGAGTGAGCTGAAGTCCAGATGAAGAGCTTCTGCAGGTTTGTGTGTTCAGATAGCAGAAGTTTCTTCTCAAACGCTCACTTCAGCACTTCTCACATCACAGTTCCTTTTTCTTTTTTTTGACCAACCACATGAAAGTG